CAAATGACAAACCTGAGTGGATTTACGTGTTTATTGAATTAGTGAAATAAAACAGATTAGGAAAAATTAACCAAATAAATCAGAAAACTGAGTCACACAGCAGTCTTCAGACATATTTTAATGCTCCAGTTTGTGCTGATCTCTCTAAATAGAGAACTTTTGGTGACTGGCACTCCAAAAGACATTAACATTTTAATTAAGAAAAATAAGAAATTATGATCGATGTTCCAAGTAGGTAAACACATAAGTGGAAGAAGAAAGAATGATGAAAACCTAATATACAATTGAGAGGCTAGAACAAGCACAGACAATCAAAGATTCTAGGCTAGCCTCAGTATGCTAACAGACTGCTGGTTATCAGACCTTCATGTAAGGTGAGAAGAATAGACTGTTCACTGCTCTCTATAGCTTGCAATATTAGCTGGAAAAATTTCCTAACTTTAGCAGGTCACAATTTAGAAGTGCCAAAGCTTATCATTAGAAGCTGGGAAGTTAAGTCAGTTACTGTTCTCTGATGGAAAGAGACACTGCATGAATAGTGTGTTGCTTTAAAAAAGTGTACCAACCACCAGGACAGGAAAACACACACACACACACACACACACACACACACACACACACACACACACACTACTGAAGACATGTGGCAAACGTAATTCACTCTGAGGCCAGTAGACAGGGGAGGTTGGGGAGTTCTCTGGAGAATGTGCTTGCTTCTCCTGTAGTTGGAGGGAGTCCAGGGCCAGTGGGACACAGACCTGGAAAGGCAAGAGGCCATCCCAAACAGGAATGATCATCAACTCAAAAGGAACTTGGTGCAGTACAGCACTTCAGATGATGAAGACTTCAAAAGTGGTTGGGGAAGAGACTAGAGAGAGAAGCAACCAAACAGCCAGACTTACCAAAAACGATGAATTTTGTGAGTGAAGGTTACAGAAAATTAAAGAATGAGGAGCAGCAATAATGCTTACTGAGTTGTGCCCAGATCTGATAGCCTGGGTTTGATCCTCAGGATGCATGTGCTGAGCGGAGTAAACTGGTTCTCTTCAGTTGGTCTCTGACACGCACATTCATACTGTGGCATGTGCCCACCCACATCCATACGCACACTCCTATAATACAATTAGTGACTTAATCTAAAAGAGAAAACTAAAGAGTGAATATACTCTCTAAAGAAAACAGTTGGAAAAGCCATTTGCCATTGTATGTGGCAACAATGTTCTAATTTCAAAAGAAGTCAGAAATCTCTCCCTCTTAAGTTAAAATGTCAATGCCAACTTTTAAAGAAAACACAAGGAAAGAAGGCCAAATGCAGATGTGACTGAATTCTGAAACGGTCTACCACTTTGTAACTTCGGAGTTAGAATGAAGCAAAGCCAAGCTCACAAAAGAAAGGCTCTGTGTGTTAGGCTAAGGGCTTTGAACTTTCTTGAAATCCACAAGACTCATTAAGAGACTAGGAACTAACATCCCAGACAACATGCTCAGGCTGCAGTACTGGAAGTCTGGAAAGGAGGTGCACAAGAAGGGGTTCCACAAAGCAGTGATGTGCATGGAAAAACACCAATCTGAAAGAAGCTAAACAAGGCATGAGGTTAGTTTTCAACACAAGGTAAACTTGAAGGCTGGTCTCCTACCTTTCTAGATATTTTTATATCTACCCTAGTATTTTGATGTTTTCTGCCTTATGTATGTATTTATTTATCTTGAGCCAGGGTTTTACCGTATAGCCCAGGGTGGCTTCAAACTTGTGATTACAGAGGTGTACCTTGGAGCCAAGCCAGAGATGCCTTTTTAAAGAGATGATATATTGTGTAATGCATAGGGTGCCTGGATGATTCTTTCCAAACACAAAAACTCAGGCAGTGCAGGCTACTTTAGAGATACTAAACTAACCTCTAAGAAGTATAAACAAAGATTATGATGACAGTCATTGGAATGCTGAATAAGGCCCCTCAATCCCTGCTTCATTAGGGCAATTTTCTATGCAATTTACAACTAATCAAAAGATTGACATATGACAATGGCTTGACTGATGTTGCTCTTCAAAACTCATGTTAAAAGTTTCCATTTGGGTGCAGGGAGATGTGGAGCCTTGTGAGGAAGGACACACATCTAGAGGTCTGCTTTTATGAACAGATGGGTGCCTTACGGAAAAACAGGACGGAACTCCTTAGGCCTCTTTTCACTGTTGCGTCTTCTGCCATCCCAGGATACAGCACTGGTCTCTTTTCCCAGGTGTCCCAGGGTTACTACTGATGTGTTGATACACCATGCCCAGAACAATTTGGACACGCAAGGGCCTAATGCTTTCATATTCCTGTTCATCATCAAAGGAAGTCAGGGCAGGAGCCCCGAGGCAGGAGCTGATGCAGAAGCCATGGGTGGGTGTTGCTTACTGGCTTGTACCTCATGGGTTGATCGGCCTGCTTTCTTGTAGAACTTGGGACCATCATCCCAGGGATGGAACCACCCACAATGGGCTGAGCCCTCCTACATCAATCCCTGATTCAGAAAATGCCCTACAGGCTTGCCTATAACACAATGTTATGGAGGCATTTTCTCAAATGAGGTTCCCACTTTGCTGATGACTCTAGATTATATTACGACACAAAACTAACCAGCACACCAGGTGACGCTGTAGCAAGAAAGCCCTCACTGGACACTGAATCTTAGACTGTACCTTGATCATGGACTTTACAGACAGAGAACTGTGAGAAATAAACATCTATAACATATAACTTACCCACTACATTGCATTTTGGTGTAACCTATGAATGGGCTAAAACAGATATCGTTACATATGTAGGAAGGGAACAGAAAGTACTACTCACTCTGGTCACACCTCACAAATGCTATGACTAAAAAGTCAGTCACTTTACAAGTTCCCTGGACCATCTGCACTGTGGTTAAACTGCATATTTAGAGGAAGCAAAGACAGCAGCTTTCCTTTGGATAACTACATTTTCTTTTAAGCACCAGACAACAGTAAATCAAATGGAAAGTGAAGTCATTAGGTGGGGCGAGGTGATGTCAAACCTCTGAGTGTTTTTTCTCTTAACTTTTCAGTTAGGAGCCTGATTCTATTTGCCCAACTGGCACAAGACAAGATTATAAAAGAGCATTTCTTAAACAGGTCTGTGGATAATAAAATCAATTCCTACTACCTGCTTTTTAAAAAAGCTAAAAATGCTGCATTTTTCTTTTTAAGTAAAATGCTAATTTTTAATAAGATAATTGAAAATATTTTATTTGTTGTAAAGTTTCTATACCATGCAATTATATTTATTCAAGAGTAAAGAAAATTGTTAATTATCACATATGGAAATAAGTTTCATAATTGTATATTTATAATAACACAGCTAAGCCATCCTTTCTTCCAACTCTCTACTCTGCTTAAAGTCAATATTCCCTCAAGGACAGTGGTAGCAAACTTTAGCCAAGGCTGTCTAATGCTTTTTGTTTTTAAGAGGACATAGGAACATAAAGGTGGTAAAAATATACTTTAATTAGATAAGTCCCTACATCATACCAGTCAGTTACATGAAATAACATCTAACACCAAAGTGCTCTGAAATAAGAAAGATAGAACTTCTCAATTATTCTTCATTCATCAGATATGGCCTGGGGCATGGGGTAACTTTAGACTCTGCTGTCCTCATTTCTTAAATTGAATGGGCAGATACCAACACTGTCAGTCACTAAGGCAAGTTTTCTGGCTTTTACCTTACAGGTACCACTTTTAATCAAAACTTGTTGTCAAGAATGGCTCTAATAGTCTCATTCAGCTACAGCTATAAAGTGCAACTTAACCATGTTCACAGAAGGCAGAGAGAGGTCTGCTTACTATTGGTGACAAGAGCTAATGACTATCACAACACCCATATAATGGACCGATTTTATCGCATGTATCTTTGTTTTCTCTATTTGACTAGACTATGGAGTCAGATACCATGGCTAAAGTTTCTCCCAACAATTTTGTTTTTGATTCATTCAGTGTCCATAAAGACCTCAATTTAAGATCTGATTTTAGTCAAGTCAGGTACTGACACCAGTTCTTGGGAGCCTGAGGCAAGAGGACTGTTGAAAGTTTGAGGCCAGCATAGGATATAGAGTGAGATCGGAAGTCAATATAAACAAACAATCAAGCAAACAAATAAAATCTGCTTAGGAATTTTCTCTTCAAACTCCATTTAACTGTCTGTTACTCTACATTTAAATCTAGTTCTGAGATGATATAAAAGTTGCCAGAGACAGATAATAAAATAGCCCAGGCACATTGAGGAACCAGAAAGGAACCACACAGGTATTAAAACCAGTATATTTCACAACAGGCATCTAAGATCTGGTTGATTTCATTATTCTACAGATTTTATCACCCATTAAAGGATGAATCATGGAGCTTTGGCACCACAGTTCTTCTCTGCTTTTCTTGTATTTGCTGTTTAAAATTCAACTTTGGAATCACTCCTGTTGTTGAAGAGGGGAACACTTAGGGATGCTGCCTGTTCTCACTCACTTTAAGGATTATTTGTTACAAATCTCAAATGCTTAGGGCTACTAAACCTTTTGCTTCAGTTCTCTTTTCTCCCAGAAAATTCAGGCTCATATACATTAACATCTCTGTTTTCATTATTGGTCTCAGTTGTCTTCTTAACTTAATGTAATTAAACCATCAAATCTTTGTTCTTTGATAGTTGATGGCTAATCTTGGTTTTCAAATTAACTACACATAGAAATAACTAAAACCGAAGCAGCAAGACACATTATGAGGAATTTTCTGAGTGGATAATTTAAGGTAGGAAGACCTACTCTAAACCTGAGTGCTAACTTTTAGTGGTGGCCCAGGAAATGGAAGGAGTCTTATTTTTGCCTGTTTGCCCTTATTATCACTGGCAAGTTCATCCATCCCACTGCTGAGCATTCCTCTTCTGGTATTATAGCCTACCTCTTTATGATTCCAACGTAGAGTGAAAACTATCTCATCTCTCTTCCTCAAGGACTCAGCTCCAGACAGAAGCTGCTGAGACATCCAGCCTTGCACTTTGAACAAATACTGGATTACTGGCCTTTCCATAGGATTAGACACATAGTTGGACTAGCTGGACCACCACCTGTAAGCCACTTCAATCAATCACCTTTTAATATATAGATATACAGTCTATTAGTTCTGTTCCTTTAGAGAGCCTTGACTAATACAACAGATCTATACTTCTACATATTAAAGCATATCATTCACCCAAACAGGAATACCCTTGATTCCCCCATCATGACTCCTGGGAGCAAGCAAGACCTGACAAATTCCTGCTGAAATAGTCCAGGATCTAGGAACTCCTCAAAACTTCTCCAAACAGCAGAGGTGACAGACGACTTTTACTGGACTACTGGATAGACTATTTGCTATCATCACTCCCAACATTCTGCCAATGCCTTGATAATTTGAGTGAAGTGAATCTAAAAACAATTTCTAAGTGTCATGTCATAATATCCAGGTTATGGCATGGTTTACTGCACACTTCTTTTAGTCAGAGCTACAGTGTCTTACACTTTTATTTCACTTGTTGCTGTGAGACAACACCTGCCAAAAGCACCTTAAGGAAGGGTAGGCTGACTTTAGCTTATGGTTTGAGGGAAAAGTTGGAGTGGGGAAGGTGTGGCAACAGAGACCTGAGGTGGCTAGTTACATCATGTCTGTAGTCAGGAGACTGGGACAGATGAGCTGGTATTCAGCTCATCTTCTCCTTTTTGTATCCAGCTCAGCAACCTGGCCCAAGAAAAGTTGCCATTCAAACTCTGGGAGAGTGTTCCCACTTCACGTAAGCATTTCTGGAAACACACTGACATGTACAACCAGAAGTGTGTTTCCATGGTGATTCTAAAACCAGCTGATAATGAAAATAAACCACTACATTGCATGAGAGAAATCAAATTTGCCATTTGGTACAGAAAGGAGTGTGAGCTTAGCGTTGTAGGCAAGCTGAGCATAGAAAAAACAGATATAATTGTCAAAGTGACTAGTGTTATTAAAGAAAAACCTTGAGATGTGTACTGGGACAATATCCTCCCACTCATCAAAGAAGGCATCAGCTTTTAAAAGTGAAAATTCATCTGAAAGAAGAGTGACTGAGCTTAGAATGTCCCCAAAGAGGTTCCCTGTTTGAAAAACAAACACCTGGGTGAAGTGTTTTGTTTTGTTTTCAAAGTTCAGTAAGCACAACAGCTGTGTTAGAGGAGGCCAGACATCTTAAATTGGAAATATAACTTGGCTCTGTTGTTGGTATGGTGCCCATTTCGCAGGCATTGAAAATGAAAGATGAAGTCATAAAGGCTTGCACCACACCGGCAGAAACTGCTGAGGACTGGCAGCATTTTTCTGGGTCAGATTTCCTTTACACAGCCTCTGAGAGGCCATGGTGTGAATCTGTGAAGCTTCACTATAAGTTCTAATAGAGAAGCCAGAACTTTGGAGATAGTACGACAATGAGATCTGACATACCTGCCTAGGAAACTGCAGGCAAGGAGTGAATCTGGCTCAAGAGAGCTAGGGAGATGGGGCAACCAAAGCTCAGTAAGACACAGATTATGCCAATCATAACCTTAGGTGCTGGACACAGAGCTTCGACATTTGTTGTTTGCCTTGCTGCAATTCTTGCTTATTTTTCCTTGCTATATCCTTATCCTTATCATTAGGAATAAGAATGCCTAATCTGTGTCCTTGTATGGTAGAAGTATATGACTTAATGTTTGACTTTCCCGGGGCTCATCGTTACAAGACTGCCCTGAGTCTCAGAAAACTACGGGCTTTTGAACAGCATTGAGATTATTTAGACTACAGGGACTTTTGAAGTTGCACTAAGTGAATTTTGAATACAAAGGACTTCAGAGGCCAAGAGTAGGATGTTATGATTTAAGTGATGTGTTTGACAAGGGTTGAACTTGTGAAGGGTAATCTTAATTGTCAATGAGGTTGTCTCCAGAGCTATACAACTGAACTGAGGAGATAAGACACACCCTAACAGTGAATGACATTACCCCATTTGCTATCCTATGGGACAACTAAGTAGAACAAAAGAAATGGAGACAGCCAGCTGAGCACCAGCATTCATTTCTCTTTTGCTTTCTGTCTGAGGAAGCAATGTGAGCAGCTCATACAAATCCCACCATGCCTTCTCTGTGAAAGATTGTATCTCTCAAACTGTGACCCTAAATAAAACTCTTTCCTTGTTCATGTCCTTGTATTTTGTGACAGCAGTAAGAAATGTAACCAATTCACTATTCTATTCATGAGCATTAGGTTTCCAGATGTTTGCTGAATACATTTTCTATTAGAAAAATGATCTTCTTCAAAGAATCCTGTTTCAAATATGGTACTTCCTAATGTTCCATTAATAAAAACATTACTATTTATAATAGAATGATATAAAATGGCAAAAGGTATTGAATATTACTGGCATAAAATAGGGTGTAGAAAGAGTTGAAAGATCACGTAACATAATTGGGGACAAACATCTGTAGAAATCATCTTAGACTAAGAATAAAAATGATAATATGATGAAATATTTAGCCCCCAAATCATAATGCTTGTAATTGAGTATATACATAAACATAATAGTTCTGATGAACTTTTCTCTTCTGGGCTGACTGCACTCCCTCTAAGAGTCAAGGAGCACTCAACAAAGTCCCAAGAGCAGGCATGAGACACTCTCTTTTGAGCTGTTGGTCAGGGCTGTCTAAGATACTCCGAAAACACATAGCCTATTGCTATTATTCTTGGTTACCCACTAGAGGTGGAAGACACGTTTCTACTGCTAAAGATATCATGAACTTCAGAAACACAGCACAGAGGCCTCTGAGCTGGATGTGACCTGAAATTCATCTCTCAATTAATTATCTTTAAGGCACCATGTAATATTTCAAAGAAGGGAGGAAACCAACAGTACTACCTATATATCACACCTATGAACCACATCATTGACCTGCATGGGAGGATAACTTTCCAGGCACAGTAATGGCACACATACCTTGGTCATAACCAAGTGTTCTCGAATTGAATTTAAGGGTCACTCAGCAAGGAGGATACCATGCCTGGAACTGGAAACTTAGCGAACTATTCAGTGCTGGAGACATCATGGTTATTGGAGGAGAATCTACAGCCACTAATTTACTACACCAGCATAATCCCTAACAATAGTGTATAAGCATTTGTCCTTACATTCGCAGATAAGTGTAGTCTTCAGCCCTCATCAAGGAATCTTCTCTTTGTCCCAGAGAGCACTATGGAAAACCACAACCAATCAATATGCAGAGTTGTGGAACTGAGTCCAAATGGATTCATCTACAAAACATTCCTTTATCTGAGAATCAGGGAACACTGAGGATGAAGGTGTTGAAAGACTATAAGAGCCAGAGGGTTGGGGATTTTTCTGTGAGATTGTGTCTCCTAGTAACATCAGAAGCTACATCTGCTAGGCCTCACCAACATGTATGCTCACATGTGAGCTGAACAAGGATAACACCAACGGACGTGCCAAATTGGATGGGAGAAAACCCAGGAGGCCTCAATCCTACACAAAAACCTGCAGGAAAACAGGTAAAGCCAGAGGTGGTCTTCCCCAGAGAAGTGTATAGCAGTTGGTTGTCCAGTGTCAGTTGGCCCTGAAAATATGCACACAAATGTATGGACTCAACTAGTTATATTTAGGGACAAATATGTATACACAAATACATATATGCATGCAATAACAATTGATGGAAAAATATGAATTTGAAGGAGAGCAGGGACGGAGTACATGGGAGTGTTTGGAGGGAAGAAAGGCATGGAAGAACTGTTGTAATTAAAAAAGTCTCAAAAATAAAAACATAATGAAAAATAATAACACCAAGTACCAATTATGTTCTAGGAAGTATGCTAAGGAATTGCCTGCCTTACTTTATAATTCCCACAGGAGCTCCCTTCTTATTTATGGTCACTGGTTATAAAAACATCGAGTGGGGGCCAGAGAGAGGACTCGGTTGGTAAGAGAACTTGCTGTTAACGCATAAGAACCTAAATTCTAATCCCCAAGACACTTTGAAAAGCTCCATGTGGTCACATGCACTTGTAACCCCAAAGCTGTGGGGCCAAGATAACTGCAACTTGCTAGCAGCTAGACTATGTTCGTTCAGTGAGGGATCCTGTCTCAAGTGGAAAGAGACCAAGGCAGAGAGCTATAGAAGAGGACACCCACTGTCTTCTTCATGTGCCCCCCAGATGCAGATAACATCCCCCCGCCTCACACAGATACACTCCACTACACATGAAAAAAATCAGGTGTGACACTCAACTTTCACTTGTACTTAAAGATAACATGAAGACCTGGGGAACTGGGTTTTGAAATCTATACTCTTAAGTTGCTATATCTAGTTGATGTTAATCAGATAATTTAAACTGAGTAAGGCCCTCATTTTATACAAGAGTTAAAAAGAGGCAAGGAAAGCAAAACTACTTGGTCAAGGACATAAATTTTACTTGACTTGTTCACTATCAAAAGCATGATGATATTTTCTTACAGGTATGCTGATGTGTAGGCAAAACCCTCCCATATGGCCTTCTCACTTGCCTGATGACTTTTAGATAAAATTTCTTGTAATATTCCTAATATTCCATTCTAATTCTCATTTCATTCTGCTGTAATTGGTTCTGACAGCTCTCACCAGCTTCTCTCTTCTTCACTGTTTATTTCTTTTATTTTAGAAATTATAATAAAATTGGATTATTTCCCACTTCCTGTTCCAACCCCTAAACCCTCCCCCATATCTGCCATTGCTCTATTTTAAATGCATGGTCTCTTTTTGTTAATCAACTGCTGTTACATACAAATATGTTATCTAAACTTATACACACATATATTTGTAATTACAATATGTAATTCAGTCTGTGTGTTCCTTATGGGTATGTTTTCAGGACCGATCATTTTGTACTGGATAGCTAACTGTTTTGATAAAATCTACCCCTTCTTTCCAACTCCTCTCAAGTATCTCCCTGCCACTGTCCCTCCCAAATTCATGTGCTTTGTTTTAAACCCTCCGAGTCTACTTAGTACTTTCTGTAGACATGGCTTAGAACCATCAGCTGGTCTGAACAGCTCATTTGGGAATACATTCCTGGAGAAAACTGACTCTCATTCCATTAGTAGCCATCATTAGTAGTGCTCATGAGTTGCCAACAGCCTTTCGGCTAATGGTGGCAACTCATGAGCACTCTCTTCTTCCATGCTGGGGTTGTGGTAGAATTGACCTTACATGAGTCTTGCAGATGTAGTCAGAGCCACTTTCAGTTCTATGCCTTCTGGATATGACAATTTTTAAGTCATCCTCTTCCTCAACGAGACTTTGTTCCCACTTCTCCTAATCCTTGCTGGAGTTTAGTGTGGCTTAAATTGTGCGGCTTAAATCTTATATGTGATGCTACAGTTTCCATGCGTTCACAGGTGGATCTATCTAGAAGGTGGCGTTTCTCTGGAGACAACATCACCACCATGTCTCACAATCTTTGGATACCTGATTTTTGACAAAGAAATAAAAGATACATATTGGAGAATAGACAGCATCTTCAACAAACAGTCCTGGTCAAATTGGATAGCTACATGTAGAAGAATGAAAACAGATCTGTGCCTATCACCCTCCACAAAAACAACTCCAATGGGATGAAGGGCATCCATGTAAGACAAGACACCCTGAATCTAAGAGAAGTGAAAATGGGGACCAGGCTTGACCTCGCCAGCACAGGAAAGG